TGACGACGGTGTCTCAGACCAACATCGCCTCCGGTTTCGTTCGCTCGATCCGGAGGATCACGAGGGAGGAGAGTGAAAGCTACACCCGCAGCAAGCAGGTCGACCTCCCTCCTCGCAGCCTTGCAAACCCACCCCTAATCCCACCCCTTATCCCACCCCTCATCTCATCCCTGCTCGTCTCCTCTCCTGACAGGCCCAGCAGGTTCAGCCGCAGATTTACGTCATGTCAGACAAGGACGGCGGCGATGACATCAGCTCCTTTCTCAAGCAGAAGGTCAGCTGGCTTCGTTCTGCCCTCCTGAAGAGCTTGACCGCCGCGCTGGCAGATGCATGGGGAGAGGGAGTCAGCTCAGATCCTCCAGAAGGAGGTAGAGGAGTGGCAGAAGCAGAACCAGCGTAGGGATCAGCCGCTGCACGAGCAGTATGAGGAGAAGAAGAGCTTTCTAGGAAAGCTGCTGAGGTGGGACGTCAACAAGGAGAAGCGGAAGAAGAAATATTCAGAGAAGGTCAGTACCTCTCCTGCATCTCATCCCCTCCTGCTTCCCCTCCTGCTCCCCTTCTTCCCCCCCTGATGCCTTCTTCCCCTCCTGCTCCTGCTCCTGCTCGATCACCTCCTTGCCCTCCTGCTCCGCTCCGTTTCCTGCTTTCGCTCCTGGTCCCTCATACTCTCCTGCAGATTCGACAACTGGAGATTTCTTTGGGGCATCTGACTGAAAAACAAGAATCAATTAAACAGGCCGGAGGGTCTGCTCAACAACTTGCGGTTCTCCTTCGTTTAAACTATCTCATAGCACTGACACTCGCTTCCTCTCCTCTCCACTCCTCTCCACTCCTCTCCTCTCCTCTCCTCTCCTCTCCACTCCTCCCCTCCCCTCCCCTCCTCCCTGTTGCCAGGATTTGGAAAGCAAGGCCGACAGATTGGCTCAAGAGCTCGCGAACTTGCGCGCAAGGTTGTCTGCTCGTCCTCTCCTCCTCACCCTCCGCTGACTCAGCCCAGGTCCGGGCTCGAGATCTCCCTTGCCGCTCACGACGGCGCCGCCAAGAAGCAGCGATCAGGAAAGGTGCAGGTCTCTCCGTCGACCCATGCCCCTCCCACATGGAAGGAGGTCAGGTCGTTGGACAAGGCAACCATCGTGTGCGCCTCGCTTCCTACCGTAACATCCTAGCAGGACGAGATCAGCAGGGCAGAGCTCGTGCCCTCCTCGTGCCTGCGCAAGGGAGGATCGCACCATGGGCAAGTGACGTCCTGCCCTGAGTCGACCCTCTGACTCTGCTGGGCCGCAGCTGGAAAGCGATCGCTCGCTTCCACGTCGGCAACGACTACCATGGGACCAACCAGGTCAAGGGCAGCCTCCTGCACTCCTGGACTGTCTACGTCAGGCAACCCGACGCGCAGGCCATAACCCTCAAGAGCGTTCGCTTCATGTTCTGGCCGTTGCCGGAGTCTGAGGTAGGAGAGGACGGCAGCGAGCTTTTCTCTTCTTCCTCATCCCTCCCTGCCCTCCCCTCTCTGATCTCCCTTGCAGGCTACGGTAGTGGTCAAGTCAGATCCCTTCGAAGTGTCAAAGTCAAGCTCGCATGCCTTCGACGTGGAAATCTCCATCGACGTCTCTGATCAGGTACAACGGAGCTTCATACATCATGCGCGGCAGCCTGGTGACTGTTGAGCTCAGGTCTTCATGGTCAAGCACTTTCTCTGCCTGACTATCAGTGGGGGGTGGAGTGACGATTCCTGCAGCACCGCTGACAATGCTTTTCCCGTCTCGTTTCACATTCTTTGCATACCACCATAGGGTGACGACATCTACGCTTCAATAGAGAATACAGAATACAACAATGAAGAAAAATCAAAATCTACCCCATCCATGGACGATGGGAAAAGGATCCTGGGTGCTCGACTCCCTCCCTGCATCATCAACGGATCGGAGAAGAGAACGGAAGATCCGACGCAATCTGCAGATTGACCAAGGAGGATGAGTACCGCTGCCATTCGAGGTCTCGTTTCTCCTCGAAACTTTTCAGGCTTTCCTGCATGTCTTGCCATTGTTCCCGACTCATCTTCTTTCCCTTCTCAGAGTAATTCTTCAGCACTTCCTTGTACTTGCACAGCATCTCCAGCCTCTTGCTCTCAGCCTCTTCATATCTCTTCTTGTTCTTCTCCACCTTCTCCCTCTGTCGGTAGATTTTGGATTCTTTCACCGACCTGCTACGGTCCAGAGCCTTGGAAGCACTCATGCCCGGCAAGCTTCCAGAGAACGATCGAGATTTTTCCGAGAGCACCCGAAACCGAACAGAGTTGTTGGAGATGCTCTTCAGCCCTTTCTCCGTCATGCTGGAGATTCTTTGCTGTCTCGTTCCCTGCTGTGCTGCTTGCATGCCTCTTGGGGTGTTGCGCGATATCAAAATGCCATGATCGGACACGTCGCTGGCGGAAGGTTTTCGCAGCACCATCGTGCTGCCTACGAGCTGGGCCGGTCGAGCGGGTCTCGACTCCTCCTCGTCGTCATCCCTCGGGAATATGCAAGCATGCTGTGACGTACATGAGCGTTCAAACGGCCCCGGGCAGGGAGGATGTGTACCTGGAAGATGTTGGAGACTGAATGTTTGGAATCAGACTCGATGTCTTCGTCAGGATCGTGCTGAGAAAACCTGAAGGGCAGCGAATGTCCTTGCTCAACCTCCTGTACAGTCTGTCAAGTTCGGAATCAGCAACTATGCTTTCATACCCAACTTCTTGGCGTACATGGCACTGAATAAGAGCCTGAGTCATCCATGCTCCTGAAAACAAGAACGCAAATCAAGATGAGTGCGAATAGTAGTTTACATGTGCGACAACCAAAGGTTGGGAGAACAACATCAGAGAGGATGAGTAGTTGCAAGTTTTCCTCTCCACTTCACAATGAGAGAAAACTAAAGGAGTCTCGTTGTGAAAAATGATGGATCAAAGAAGAAGGTACAATGAGGAAACTTGAAAGAGCTGGATCAACAGCCATGGAAAAGCAGATTCTTCAGAAGGAGGGAGCAAAAGCGGGAGTGAAACGAGAGGGAGGACAGAGGGAGGGAGGGAGGGAAGGGGGGGAGGGGGGGAGGGAGAGAGGCAGGTAGGCAGGCAGGCACGAAGAGAGGGAGAGAGGATGTGAGTAAGTTACAGAGAAGGAAGGGAGAAGAGAGAGTGGGGGGAGAGAGGGACGGCGAGGAACTATCCTGCCGGCCCTCGTCCCAACTTCGACGGCATCACAGGGACTGGACTGAAGCACGACTGCCCCAAGGTAGCGACGCCCGCGTTGGACGGAAATCACTTGCCCGAGGTCGCTCCTCCTCCTGTATGCGACTCGACCGACAGCCTCGCAGGTGGACGTTCCTCTTGGGACGAAGTTGTGGAAGTTTGGCATGGACGTCGTCTACGCTCCTTTCTACCGCAAGTTCATGGTTGACTTGCTGTCCGAGCATGCGAGCTGTTCTGAACCTCTCGCGCAGGTCGGGGAAGGAGAGAGGAGGTACAGGTAAGACATGCACTGCTCTTCGCTCTCCTCTTTCCTCTTGTACTCCCATGTTCCTTCACCTCAGTGTCGCTCCCGTCCTCCCCTTCCTCGCCTCACCCTGCCCCTTGTTCGTGCCCTCACCTCTCCTCCCCCTTCGCGTGCAGGTACGAGGACGCGGTGCACGCGATCCTCTCATGGGAGCCGGAGATCATCGCCCCCTGCCATGGCGACGTGGTAGAGCTCGTGCGGTGTTGGAGGTGAACGACTGACGGGGATGGCCAACAGATCCGGGGGAAAGACCTTTGCCAGCGTGTTTTGAGAGATCATTTTCTTCCCTGAGATCGTACAAGACTGAAACAGACATATTCCTCCTCCTCCTCCTCCTCCTCCTCCTCCTCCTCCTCCTCCTCTCCCTCTATCCTACAGCCCTCGCTATCCGTCCGCTGGCTCTGACGATGCCCCTTCCCTCCTCCCACCTGCCTCAACTCCGCTTAGAGACCTCAGTGAAAGAGTTTCCGTTCTGCTGGCTGAAGGCGGAAACGAGGGTGACGTCGGAGGTGTGGCAGAGGTTCCGCATCTTGTGATGCTTTGACGCGCAGCTGGAGTACAGCTCGATACCCTTCCCGTGCCCGTTGGTCTTTGAGTAGGACCCGTTCTCCCTCCCTCCTTTCTCCTTCTCTGCCCACTTCTTGCCCTTCTCAGTCTCCCCGACTTCGTCCGCGCTGATCGGGCTGCTGGGTGACGATCGCCTCCTCCCCATCGCCTTGAGCGACGCATCGATACCCTCGAGCTTGGCGAGGATGCTCATCGTCAGCTTCTCCTGCTTGTCCAGCCGCCCGTGCAGCTCTGTGTTGTCCTCCAGCAGAAGCTTGAGGGATAACATGGTCTTGAGAGAGACGCGTTCAGTTCGGAGAGAGGAGGGAGGGAGGGAGGGAGGAGGGAAGGAGGGAGGGAGGGAGGGAGGGAGGAGGGAGGGAGGGAGGAGGGAGGGAGGGAGGAGGGAGGGAGGGAGGGAGGGAGCAGCGAGGAGCACGGAGGAGGTTCACCATGCCGAGGTTCTCGTCGAGACTGAAGGTGCAGGGGATCGCGTGGCCTGCGATGAAGAGGACGAGGAGGATGAGGAGAGGAGGGAGGGTAAAGAGAAAAATGTTAGCTCAGAGCCAGGGCGGAGGAATGTGGAAAGAGAAGAGCTAAAGAATACATCCATGAGGTGGAAAACAGAGCAGCAAGGAATGGAGGAAGGAGCGAGAGAGGAAAGATGAGAACCAACTGACAAGGGTGAGAGGGAAGGATGGGGAGGGGAGAGAGCACGAGAGTAGAATGGAGGGAGAGAGCGAGATGGGAGAGTGGAGTCGAGGAAAGCAAGCAGGGACAGCATGGTCCTGCGCACCGAGACTTCTTTGAGCAAAGCTCTTGAGGAGGTGCTTCATGCCGGAGCAGAAGCCCTCGATCTCGAGCTCGTTGCTCTCGTTGCAGTTGAGTCCGTTCTCAGTCAGCCGCTCGTACTCGTCCACCGAGAGCTTGATGTGCGGAGAGAAGGGAAGTTTCTTCAACCCCTCATAGACCTCCTGCTGACTCGTCAGCGGCTGGAGGAGGAGGGAGAGAGGAGGGCAGGAAGGTAGAGAAAGGAGGCAGAGGGAGCGGAGAGGAAAGCAGAGAGTTCACGAGCAAGGGAGGGGAAGTTGAGGAGGAGGAGGGGATGTAACGATGGAGGGAGTAGCTGTATGGGTGCAGCGGAGGGAGTAATAAGATCCTGCATGACCACGAGGAGGAAGACAAAGGAAACTGGAGGAGGAGAGGAGCAGGAGCAGGAGCAGGACCTGGTAGGACACTCCGCCACTGTTGTTAAGATCCAACCTGCATGGACCTGGTCATGGAGAAGGGAGGAAGAGCAGCGCGCTTGCCTCTTGAAGAGCGAGCGGAGACGGAGATTGAGCTCCTGCGTGCTTGCGGAGTTCATGAGAGAGGTCATAAGAGGGTCCAGCGTCCTGGTGTCGTGCCGGGCGTTCTGCTCCTCGATGATCCGCTTAGCTTGCATCTCTGACTCCAGTTTGGTTGCTCGTGACAAGTTGTCGACGAGAACCTGTGGCGTGTGAGGAGAGGAGAGAGGAGGAAGTGTGAAGAGGAGCAGGGTTGAGGAGCCTGAGAAGGAGCAGGAGGGGGGAAGGAGGAGCAGGGGAGAAGAGCAGGCGGGAGGAGAGGAGGAAGCGGAGAGAGGGTAAGAGAGAACATGGGAGAGGGGAAAGTCGGGGCAGGGAAAGGGAGAGAGGGACAGGAGGAGGGCAGGATGAGAGAAAGGAGAGTCTTACAGCTGTGATAGTAGGAAGGAGCGTGAACGTGATGATGATGATGAAGGGGACGAAGAATATCTAGTTGGTGTATCGATCACTTTGCCGCCTCCTCGGAAAAAGTTTCTCCTCACCGCTGCCACCGCGTCGAGCTCGTTGGACTTTGAGACGCCTTCTGCTACCGCGATCCAGCCGTCCAGTGTGGCAATCTGATGAGCGGAAATGAGAAGAGAGAGTGGGGCGATGGGGAAAGAGATTTAAGAGGAAGGGGAAGAGGAAGGGGAAGGGGAAGGGGAAGGAGAAGGGGAAGGAGAAGGGGAAGGAGAAGGGGAAGGGGAAGGGGAAGGGGAAGGGGAAGGGGAAGGGGAAGGGGAAGGAGAAGGGGAAGGAGAAGGGGAAGGAGAAGGGGAAGGAGAAGGGGAAGGAGAAGGGGAAGGGGGTAGAAATTGAAAATACCTGTATCATTGTGATGCTGTACGCGATGAGACAAGGATAAGTCAGAACATTGCTGAAGCATCATAAAAGCATTGATGACTCACAAGGACCGATAGAAATCTCCGAAATGATCGGCGTCGATGTCCTTGTACAAGTTGACAGCAAAGACCTGCACGAGTTTTATCGGAAGGAAGGGATCCCTTCACATCGCTCACCGCATAGATTGCGATCACAAGTATCATGATAGCCTGTCACTCATTGACGTCAACGAGGAAGATGGCTTGCTACCTCTTCTCTTCTCACCAACGCGCTTCCCACTGGTTTCAACGACCAGCCAAGGGCATTCACCAGTTGCCGCATGGAGGACAGCCTGTTGGAAGATACATCAAGAATCCCCTTTCCCTTCCTTGCTCCCCCCTACAACTCCCTCCTCCCTGTTCCGTGTCCCTCACTGCTCCCCCCCACAACTCCCTCCTCCCTGTTCCGTGTCCCTCACTGCTCCCCCCCACAACTCCCTCCTCCCTGTTCCGTGTCCCTCACTGCTCCCCCCACAACTCCCTCCTCCCTGTTCCGTGTCCCTCACCTCCCCATCAGCCTCAGCCCTCGCAGGCATCGCATTAGCCTGAGAGCTTTCACAAAGTCCCCTTGCAGATTTCCTAGGGAAGCGAGAGATATCTTTGAAACAGTCAGGGAAAGAGAGGAGAGGTAGAAAGAGCGAGAACAGCATAAGGAAGGAGGCGGGAGGTGTTGGGAATGGGGAGGAGTAGGAGTAGGAGTAGAAGTAGGAGAGTGGAAGGGGCGGGGTAGTGCGAGAGGGAACAACAGCAATAATGTCAGTTGCTATGGAAGTGACAGTGGTTGGAGGGGAAGAAGAGGGGAGGAGAAGTCAAGTGCGGTTGCAAGAGGAGAGTTCGCACCGCAACGATGCCAGCGTCGAACTTGTTCCAGGAGCTGCCCCAAAACTCTTTGAACCAGTGAGCATACATGTTGATCCCGAGCTCGACGGTGTATATGACGGTGAAGGCCACATCGGCGTTCACGAAGATTTGTGCTCTGCAAGCAAGCGTCAGCCCCCGCACCGGTCAAATTCATGCCGCTCACTTGCTCGTGCCCGGCTCCGCAAGGATCTGGAGCTCGGCCACAGTGAAAGCGAAGTTGGCGACGATAACAAAGATCATCATCATCTGGAACTGCGAAGACTTGTAGATACGCGATGTCTTCTTTTTTATCCTCATAAACCTGTTTGCCTTCACCCATTTGATAGTTGCTGCCGTCTTTGCGTTTGACACCATCACGATCCAGTCCTCACAGTCTGCCTCCGTCTTCGCCCGGAACACGTACGTCCTGCCCGAGTTGAATCCCTCCTCGATCGTGGTGACCTTGAACTCGGCGCGGAGCAGGTGCTCCGTGCCTGGCAGTGACAGGCTCCTCTTGATCTTGCGGGAGTTGGTGTCGTAGTACTCGATCTCTTTCCTATGATGGATGTCGTCATCTTGCGGAAGGTCCTCTGGCTTACACCTCGACACCAGCGCGATCTCATGCAGCGGAATGTTGTCTGCCTGCTTTTCGCCCCCGGGAAACGTGAAGGCGATGAATTGAGCTGTGAGCGCAACCCTCCTCTCCTTCCACAACTGCCCGACGCACATGTCCAGCACATCCTCCTTGATGCACAAGTGGGAGTTGGGCATATCAGGTGATTCTTCATAGTCGTTGGAGTTGTTCAGGATGACGTTGTTCCACTGTAGCACTTTGGTGCGCTCTCTTGATCCCTTATTGCTGAACCATTTCCTGATTGCCGCAAGCATGGCGATAGTTTCAGAGGAAATCCTTAAGTTCAGAACTGCTCTGTGAGTTGAGGGCTATTGACAAGCAGGCTGCTTATCGACATGCATACCGATCCAAAGACCTTCAGAAAATGCAAAATGTGAGATTCTTCTCATTGAAATTTCTCTCACGAACTCAGTTCCCTTCGTACAAGACATCTACCTTCTCCTCTCACCATCGTGTCCCTCCTCTCTACTGGTCCTTCAGACATCTACCGTCCTCTCCTGCTCTCTCTCTCTCCTTCCTCGTCTGCTCCATCACATTCCTGGATATAGTCACTTGCTGCATTACTGGTGCATTCATGATTAGATCACCCTACCCACTGAAATTGGTCACTACCCTATTTCTTTTTTCCGACCCCCTGCCCCCTATTTCCGTACTACCCACCCCTTATTTCCTAATGGATATGCGCAACCATGTACCAGGAGCTCCCGATTCCGATGCATCTTGTTGGCTATGGGGTAGGGTGGTATCGTGTTCACTTTGGCTAGGGGGTGGGGTACAAAAGTCCAAATGTTGACTTTACTTGGCGATGGACCCATTCTTGAGGCGGGCTTGGTTCAGAAAGAAAAAAGTCAAAACTAAACTACCAACCCAAGTTACACAAGTTCCTGCTGCTGCTGCTGCTGCTGCTCTCGTGGCTAGTAGCTCCTCCTCAAGCTGCTGCTCCTCCTCGTGCCCGGCTTCCAGGTGCCCCTGGAGGGAATTGCTGTTGCTGGGAGCTCTTGGAACTCACACTGCCAGCAACTCCCTCCCCTCCCCGGCCTTTGCTCCTCTTCTTTCTAGTCATCACTTCCTCCTGCTGATTTCAATATGTCCTAATTTGTATCCAATGTTTGCTAACTTATATCTCTGTTTCTCCTTTACTGCCGACCTTGCGTTCTATCCTATGCCCCTTGTTCTTCAATCTTCGACCCAATTCCTAACAAAATCTACAGGACCTCGCGATTTATGAAGACAGTATCCTTGATGTCGCCATATTAGAGTGGCAGCACAATCTCCAAGTTATATAGCATACCCATGACCATGTCCATGAGCAAGACGGCAAGCATGGCCACATCGCGAGCAGCTCGCGAGGAGATGATTGTACAAGAATCTCGAGCAAGGCGAGTCAAGTTAATCCAAGACGCAATCAACCGACGGCCGAGGATTCTCATTTTCTCTGTGAGGGCTTGCGCTATGTTTGTTTGGATCCATTGCTTTCCTGTTACTTTGATTCTTTGTTTTCTTTGCTCACCTGGCTCTCTTTGACTGGTTGCTTTAGGGATGCAAGCAGAACCACTCAAGCCTGATTCCGATTCAGATTGCCTCAATGCACGATCAAGGGTCGTTCATTCTCTGCCTGTGCGTTTGATCAAGAACATACTCTCAACGTTGACCATCTTCCTCAGGCAAGAAGATGAAATCAGCTCCGACACGATAGCAAACCTGATCCTGCGCAACTTCATCGGATCGAGGCTGGTTGACAAGAACACCATCGAGATCTCGGACGATCATAAGCGTAGATCGATAGTCAAGGCTGTGTGCAGAGACGAGCTTTTGCAAGGCATCGAGGGCCCCGATCTATCCACTTGGTGCTGAACGTGTCCCAGGGTATGCCATGGCAAAGAGTTTGAGAAGAGAAGACAAAACAGTCATTGTAATAGTTGTTGCATTCTTTTGCCTATCTTGTTATGATTCCGACAGAAGCAATTGAAGTGTGACTGTTTGTATAGATATTGGATATCAGCGTTGACTTCAATCATTCTGATGGCAGCTCGCCCAAGGAATATCCACACATGCTGGAGCGAGCCTGTGTCTGACTTGCTCGCAGTCAACCATAGACCAGAACAACTTGATCTTTCTGAGGACTATGGTGAGGTAAGGGCGAAGGATACCAGCAATGGAACCTTTCATTCATCAATCGACCCGTTGCAGGAAAAACTTGAAGGGCCAAGAACCGGCGCCTCGCCTTGTTTTCATATTGAGGTTTCCTGGCTACTCTGCCATCAGTATCCGGCTGATTGTCGGTGCAGGAGCAACCATCAAGACCACGACTGCCCATGGCTACCTGGTGACGCGATCGCGTGCTTCTTCCCTTGTCCTCCCAGTTGTCCTCCTCTCCTGATGCGCCGATCGTTTGTCGTCTGACGATGACAATGCGCAGAAATGATACCAGCCCATGTTCGCGAATCATTGCTGAAGAGAGCTAGAGAGCTCCCTCCAAACTTCTTGATCTCGCGCCCAGGTCCCTCCGTTAGAGATTCGATTCTTCTAAGGTCGGTTCTTGTCTTACCTTACATGCAGATGACGAGTCTGTCCTCTACATGAACCTGTCGGAAGGGTCCAGGAGCCTGCACAAATGGCATGCGCGCGATGATTTTTCTCGCTGTTCCGCTGACCTTGTGACCGCAGGCGGGATCTGAGTTCGTACACGTCTGTTAGCCAATTCAACAAGTCGAGCACTCCCCGGTCATTTGCGGAAGATCCTCTCCTGAGGGAGCTGGAGGGAGAGCTGGGTAGGGAGGTCCGAGCCAGTTCCTACCGAGAGATGTCTGCGGTGGAGAAGGAGAACCTCACACTTGACGTGCGGCCCGCGGCAAGGGCCTTGAAAGTGTCCAGCGAGATCTTCAAGTTGAAAGACGTCAACGTCAGCGAGCTCAGACAGGCTCACATGAGGTTTCAAGTGTTCCTCTCCCAGCAGGACCAGACCAGGGAGCCATTTCAGGTGAGGAAGAAGTTTTCAAGATCAGCTGGGGAGGATTTCTCGACATGGGGGAAGATGCAGCTGTCAGAGCTGAATGCTGAGGAGGAGAAACTTTCTGCCGACCTGGCAGAGGAGGCGGCAGCGAGTACAGCAGGGCAGAGCAGCGTTGGAAGTTTGCAAGGAGTGGAGGCTAAGGGGTCAGGTGAGTTCGACGAGCACGGGCAGGAGAGAAACGAGCAAGATTATCCGTCGCAAGACGTGGAGCAAAGCTCCGCTACTGCCTCTCTGCCGGCTGAACAACCCAAGTGAGTGAGAGCGGGATGGAAGGGAGGCTGCTGATCGCGATCCTGCAGTGATGCAGAGACACTTGCTTCCATCCCATGCCAGCTCGACCTCTGCTTGGGTGGAGCTGAGAGCAGCGAGCATTGCGGTGTGAACAAAGAGAGCAGCCTCTTGGGATCGCGAGGAGTTGACAGCCTGGTGACGGCTGGGACCAAGGCACCTGTACAGGTGGACAGAGGGACGTCAACGCAAGAAGAGGATGCAGCCAGCGGAGAGTTCAGAGCTGCTCAGCAAATCGACGAGGCCATAGCGGCAGGAGTCCAGAGTCGAGCCATGACGAGTCATGCTTCGTCCGAGCTCGTCCGGAACTTCACAGCTTCCTGCAGTGGAAACGAACTTGGGCACGAGGCATGGAAGATCAGGGTCGAGCCAAATCTGCAGAAGATCGATGACCCGACGACCTACTACTTACACAACCAGCAGGAGGTTTGTGTGTCCTCAAAGTGTTCCCTTTGACCGCCCCAGCAGCAGGTCTTCCAGTCTGCTAACAGCATGATGGATACGCGAATAGACTTGGAGACTCGCTTCCTCAATATTGACATATCAACTTGTCAGAACCTCTTCGTGGATTTTGTGAGCCCCTTCCCCTCTCCTAACTTCCTCTCGTTCACAACTGCTCCATTCAATTCACTCTCCGTTTTCCTCTCCATCCCTCCATCCTCTCCTCTCTCCTCTTTTTCATATCCTTTTGGAATGATCTTCACTCAGGAGCGAACGCGGAGCGTCGCGTCCATCAACACAACGATGGACTCTAGGTGTGCGGGCGAAAGTTCTCCTCAACTTGACCGGGCAGGTTCGGAAGCAGACATGCGACAGCTACCAGCGTCACCATCATCATCAACGTCACCACCATCAACATCCCACGGGAAGATCGACAAGGAACAGCCTGTAACATCAGCTCCAGAATGCAAGAAGAGGCAGCGAGCGACGCTCAACAAGAAGTCCATCGCAACTAGCTGGGGCAACTTCAGGCTTCCTCCTGACTCCCTTGTCTCCTCCGACGACCATCCACCCATCTTCAAGCGGCGAGCTGAGTTCAAGGGTGAGGCCTGCGTCGGGCAGAAGCTCACCATCACGGCGAAACCTCTTCCTGGGGTTCAGATCAAGGTACCCAGCTCCTCCTCTCCCTTCACAACCCTCACTCACCGTCCAGGATTTCGTCCTTCATTTCAACTGGTACAGGATCCGTGGCGAGGTAAATCATTCCTCTGTCCTCCCTCCTCCTGAATGAGGAGGAAGCAGCAGGTAGCCAGCAAGTACCTCCCCGTCGAACAGATCCAGCAGAGCCATCGAGCCTCCTACGTCTGTACCGAGCAAGACCGCGGCTGCGGCATCCTCTGCATCTGCTCCCCTCAGTTTCCTGACGGCAGCCTGGCCTCTTGCACGCTTGCTGTCACTGACAGTCTGGTGGAGGCGGAGGAGGAGTGTCTGGACTTCCCCGTCGTAGTTTAAGATAAGATGTTGTCAGCAAGGTTCATTTTCACTGGTGGCTCTGAATCAGACTTGCTGCTGCTTCTCCTGCTCCTGCTCCTGCTGCCTGCTTCTGCTTCTGCTGCTGCTGCTGCCTGCTGCTGCTGCTTCTGCTTCTGCTGCTGCTGCTGCTTCTGCTTCTGCTTCTGCTTCTGCTGCTGCTGCTGCTGCTGCTGCTGCTGCTGCTGCTGCTGCTGCTGCTGCTGCTGCTGCTGCTGCTGCTGCTGCTGCTGCTGCTGCTGCTGCTGCTGCTGCTGCTGCTGCTGCTTCTGCTGCTGCTGCTGCTTCTGCTGCTGCTGCTGCTGCTGCTGCTGCTGCTGCTGCTGCTGCTTCTGCTGCTGCTGCTGCTTCTGCTGCTGCTGCTGCTGCTGCTGCTGCTGCTGCTGCTGCTGCTTCTGCTGCTGCTGCTGCTTCTGCTTCTGCTGCTGCTGCTGCTGCTGCTCCTGCTCCTGCTGCTGCTGCTGCTGCTGCTGCTGCTGCTGCTGCTGCTGCTGCTGCTGCTGCTGCTGCTGCCCCGTTGTCCTGCCCTGCCTCAAACGAACGGAGTCTCCCCGACAGATTCTTTACCACAATATCGCCATAGCAGGGTGGGGTACTACGAAATATACCCCTTCGATATCCTTTATTTTCCTATATTATGCGGTAGGGGTGCATACCCTCTAAGGGATAATTCTAAGGGGGTGGTGTGCAATGGAGGGAGACTATCAAGAGTAGCGGCGACAGTCGAGGGCTGAGGAGCTGCAGCGGCGAGAGACAGAGAGGAGAAGGAAGAGAAGAAGGAAGAGAGGAGGGAAGAGGGAAGAGAAGAGGGGAGAGGGGAGAGGGGAGAGGGCGGGGGAGAGAGAGACAGGAGAGGGAAGACGGAAGGGGTGAGGGGAGCGAGGCAGAGAGGCAGAGATTCAGGAAAGACGGAGGGATGCATTGTAGCATGTAATCATCATCTCTTCTCAACGATCGGATTCAATGTCGACCAGTCAACGTGTTCGCGTTGCCTTCCTTATCGCAGCATCTTTGATGAAGTTCCCTCAAACTTGGTCGAGAGCCACCGAGCCCTGGGTTGAGATCCTCTCTCCTCAGCCTGCTCAGCTCTTTGTCGAAGGACAGTTCTCCTCTATCATGCTTCACTTCGTCGTCCATGGCGTCGAGCTGGGAGCGGACTCAGTAGCGGCGCACGTGTTTGTCATTCGCAACGCCATATCCTACGGGGGAGACGCCTTCAGAGGGAGGGAGGAGCTCAGATCCTCTCCCCACCATGTTGTGTTGGAGCAGGAGACCAAGCTGCAGCTCGATCACCAGTGGCTGGACCTCGGGCTGCACCAGGTCAGGGTCCACCTGGTGGACATGAAACAAGGTGAGGAGCGCCGCTGGCGCGTCGTGCGAGGTGACGTGAGGCAGGGAGGGAGATAGCGGAGAGCGCATGCTTCTTCGAGGTCAGGCTGCCGGTGGAGCAGGAGGAGAAAGAAAACAAGGTTCCTGCTGAAATCATGACGGACGCGTTCGAGGACAAGGTGGTTGAGCGATGGGACCAGACGATGGGGGAGAGTGCGGAGGAAGTTCTTGCGAGGTACTCGATGCTGCACCACGACATCTTGCATGGGAAGGTCCCGGAAGAGCAGAGGAGGTACCTCGTGCTCAACCAGCAAGCTGGAGGGTTGGGAAACAGGTGGGAGCCGATGGAGATCGAGTGGAATTCTCTTAATTGTGATTGTTGTTGGAATCTTCCTAATTGATATGAAATCTTCCGTGTGCCAGATCAAATCTTTCATTGAAAATCTTGCGTGATGGTGGTGTGACGGGAGACGCAGGCTCGGGAGTATCCTATCAGGCCTTCTATTCGCGATCTTGTCCAACAGGGCTATGCTGGTCTACTGGGACGTGTCCTCGTACTTGCAGAACGGGGATGTGGAGCATGGAGGGATCCGGTGGAACTTCAAGGATGAGGAGGAGATTAAGGTAAGTCTTGACTTGTATGTTGACAGCTATCAGTGTAGACCTTTCTCTCTCTGCTGCTCGTGTGATTGTTGAGGTTGAGCCTGCCGACTTTTGTTTGTGATTGTGTGCAAACTTTTCCTGTCCTCCTCTTCCCGTTTCCTGACAGCATGTGCGGGCCAGGAGGTGATAGGGAACGCGGCTCTCGAGGGGATTCACTACACTGACATGGGGGAGCTGTCGGAGTACCTGGTGTGCGGCCGCTATGACACGTCAGATGATGCCTCGGCAGATGTGTCTACCATGACGACAATAAGGATCACAAACCCTCACTACTACATTCCCCTAATCATGAGCAACCCCTTCTATCGCCGCAGGTTGCTGAGTGTCTTCGGGGGGAAGCCCGCCCATGTGCTCTTCAACTACCTGTTTAAGCTCGTGCCCTACTTAAAGGTCTGTGATGGATGACCGGGGAGGGAAGGATTGTTGAGATCAGCAGGAGGAGGGAAGGATTATTGAATCTGGAGGAGCAGGAGCAGGAGCAGGAGCAGGAGCAGGAGCAGGAGCAGGAGCAGGAGCAGGAGCAGGAGCAGGAGCAGGAGGGCAGGATTGTTGAGATCAGGAGGGGCAGGAGCAGGAGCAGGAGGAGAGAGGAGGAAGAGGAAGGGGAGGGAAAGAGAGAAGGAGAGCAGCGGTGAACAGTCGCAAGGCAGAGGTGATGCTAGTAATGACTGACAAGGTGGATGCTCAGGAGAAGGTCGACGCAGCAAAATCTGCATGGAAGGGGAAGCAAATGATAGGTGCAGAGCTGGGAGACGGCATGGAGTTTGAAGATGACGAGGATGTTGTTGCCAGGTCTGCAAATCAGACAAGCTCGATCTTGCGGGAAGATAACGCTCGAAGGCGACCTGGGTAGATACACCTGATCGCATGGTGGTGGTGGTGATGATGATGATGATGAGGAGGAGGATGGTAATGGGGAGAAAGAAATTACGAAATGTCCTGAGATCGCTACTAGATGCACAAGAGAAAAACCTGATTTGAAAGTCACTGTGGTGGCAGGAAACCGTGTGTATACACATGCGTACATGACGCTGGTAAGTTGATTATGATGGTGATGGTGATGAGGATGATGAGGATGGGGAAGACGATAATGATGAGCAGAAAGAGCAGGAGGAGGAGGAGGAGGAGGAAGAGGTTTGACAGGCTCGAGCAGGAGCACGAGCAGCTCTTCTACTCCTGTGCTCGCTCTCTTCGTCGAGGTTTCAAGGGAAACGCCTCCTACTTCCTCGCCACCGACCTGCCACAGGAGACGAGAAAAGGTAGAAGGAAGATGTGCGGTGAAGGAAGAAAAGTGGAGGGCAGGGCGGAGAGGCGAAAGGCGAAAGAAGAAAGGAGGAAAAGGAGAGAGGGAGGGGGGAAGGGTAGCAGGTAGACGAGGATCAGAGAGACGGAAGAGGGGGGAGGAGAAACGAGTGGGAGAGAGAAGGAAAGGGTATAGAGGGCGCGGAGGAGGAGAATGGAGGGGAGGACCGGGAGGAGAGCAGAGGACCGGGAGCTTTGTCTGCGAGTTGCAGAAGGATCCGGAGAGAATGGATGGAGATGGAAGGGACGAGGAAACGAATTTGAACCCACTCCTACCCTGCTGTGATCGGGTCCTGACAGAAGCAATTTCTCAACTGGGAGAGGACAAGCTCTTCTTCACGCAGCTTCCCGACGAAGATGTGATCGCCTATGTCCTTGTTGTCCTGCTCCTGCTCCTGCTCCTGCTCCTGCTCCTGCTCCTGCTCCTTCTCCTTCTCCTTCTCCTGCTCCTTTCCCAGCCATCTTCGCCTCCACCTGATGGTTTATCTCTCGTCAGGTGCATGCAACGCGAGCAGCCATGGAGGAAGGGAGGACGACGAACTTTGACGGCGCTTTCATGGACATCTGGTAGACTCCATGTCAAGGGCCCAGCATGCTTGATTGAGCTCCTATCAACCTCGGTCTTCCTCAGCCGATATTGAACTTCCTCCTCATAGTCAGCTAATGTTGATTTTCTTTCTCTGTCAGCTAATGATGATTTTGTTTCTTTGTGGCTCATGTTGAATTTCTGTCTCAGTCAGCTAATGTTGATTTTCTTTCTTTGTCAGCTAATCTTGATTCTGTTGATCCCGTCTTCTTTGCCTTGCTCTTGTTGAACTCCTCTCAAAGGCTTTTGAGCGAATGTGATGACGTCATCGCAACTCCTGCATCTAGCTTTGGCTACATGGCAAGCGCAAGGTTACATGCCTCCTCCTCCTCCTCCTCCTCCTCCCCGTTTCCCTCCTCCTCCTGCTCCTCCTGCTCCTCCTGCTCCTCCTGCTCCTCCTGCTCCTCCTGCTCCTCCTGCTCCTCCTGCTCCTCCTGCTCCTCCTGCTCCTCCTCCTCCTCCTCCTCCTCCTCCTCTTCCACCTTGTTCTGCTCCCCGGTTTCCTTTGGCAGTTTCCCTCTCTTTTCCTCTTCCTTTTGCTGTCTGCACCCTCTCCCAAATTTTCTCCATCTTCTTACACAGTTGTCTGCCATCAGATCAGGAAAAGCTCCTATAACTGTGAGCAAGTGGGGGAAATGTTTTCGGGCTATCACAAGGTAAGAGAGACCAAGTCGATTACGCAGCACATGATGATGCCAATGACGATGGTGCTGGTGATGAAACGGAGAAAATCACGCAAGAGATTAAGGAGATGATGTCAGATGATTGTGATGGAGGGAACTTCGATCTCTCATAGTTTGCTCCCTTCCCCTCCTCTGATGACCTCTCAGCGAGCCCTTCTCGCATGCCTGGCTGCTGGTGAAGACGGTCTCTTGCTTCGATCGGCGCATGCTTGTCCCGGAGTTCGACATGCTGTGCCAGGCACTGGCCCTCCTCCTCTTCCTCCTCCTAAGCCCTCTGCCTCCCTCCCTTCTTCCTCCTGCCCTTCTTGCCCCACAGTTCCCCACTCGCCCCTCTTTGCTCACCTTGTGCTGATCTATCCCACCATCCTGCTCCTGCTTCTTCCTTTTCCTACCGTTGGTGCTCCCTTGCAATCCCTTGCTCAGCTGTCCGATCCTAGTCCCCTACGTCTTCATTCCCTCTCTCTCCCCTCCATCTCTCCCTGATGACGTCACACCTCAGGATTGTGTTGTGCTTCAGTGTCCATGTGGAGATCTGACTTGTGCTAGTCACTCGGAGGTACTCATGCTCCCCTTCCCCTGCCCTCAGCCGTTTGTTCTTTACCAGCCCTGCAACCCTTGACATGATACAGCCTTGCCTCCCTCCCTGCCTGCCTGCCTGCCTGCCTGCCTGCCTGCCTGCCTGCCTGCCTGCCTGCCTGCCTGCCTGCCTGCCTGCCTTCCTGCCTGCCTGCCTGCCTGCCCGACTGTCTCCATTGCTCCACCTGACATATCCTCACCCGACTTCCTTTCGCTCACCACCCCCGCTAACTTTGAATTCGCAGCCTCCCCATCCTCTGTTTCCTCGGCAAGTAGCTCAGGTACCCGGGTGAGCGGTCCCTTACTTCAATCAACAAGAGCAGCAAACGACTTGCATTCAGTTTCCTCCTTCCCTCTCCATCCCCTCTTCTCCCTCCTCCTCCTCCTGCTCTCATCCACCTGCCTTTACAGCAGCTTCAGGTGATCCGTAAGTCCTTTGAACTGCTGCTCGGGCGCAGGTCCGATCGCGAGCACCTGTCCCAACATCACGAGCAGCACACGAATTATTTGCCCCCTACAGTCCTGCTCCCCGCCGCTATCTGCGTCCTCCCAGCATCCATGACAATGTAAGTGATGAGGCCCTAGCAGGACACTTGACTGCACGACACACGCAGCGGATCCCCTCACCTTGGCTCCTGCCTTCTTGGCGATCTCCCACATCTCATCCTCTGCCTCACATTCAGCCCTCCTCCCCTCTCCCTCCCCTGCTCTCTCCTCCTCC